ATATAAATTGACATTTAACATATTATTAACAATAAGCCTAAACAACCGAAAACTTTAGAAATAAGTATTAAGAAAAATAATGAAATGGAACAATAATGAAAAGCATCCGTCTCTTATTGCAGTTGTTGTTATTGTTATTAGATATTTGCTCTTTAAATTGAGTACTAATATGAACAACAACAATGACAATTTCTCTTCCCATTTGTTGCTTTCGTTATTTATCTTCTTCTTTAGTTGCTAAAAATTTCTAAAGTGTGCGGTTGTAAAATGTTAATAGTCCTGTTTAAATAAATCTAAAGCCTTAATTAATTGTTAATATTTAAATATTTTTGTTGAAAATTGTTTATAAACACCATTCGGGACAAAGGTTTATAAAAAGTGTTAAATTATTAGTTTAAAAAAGTGTTTTAAAATTTGCCAAAAATTCAATGCAATTTTGTAAGGCCGAGCGCCGGTTTTCTTTTGTCGTGCCATTCGTTTTGTAAAGTGATGAGAAAGCGTTAATCAAATTGGATAGAGGAAGAGTTTGGAATGAAAGAATTTAGCTTGAAAAAAAGTCTAAGGAAAAGGTGTGAAAAGTAATAAAAAAAGAAAAAGAGTTGGTGTGTAAATATGTAATAAGTATGTGTTGTAAATTAAAAATATTGTTTTTGTATCAAATACCTACAAATGGAAGAACAACAAAAGAAAAAGGTGAGTGATTTGAAATAACTAGTACAAATTTGTTTTTGTTTCTTTATTAAATGAATTTTTTTCTTATATTAAATTTGACTATGGTCTTTGTTAAAGAACAATCTCTAATCTAGACTATAGAAAAGTCCATTCACTATAGACTAGACCAAAGAATAGACTATTGACTAGACTATGGACTAGTCTATAGAATAGACTATAGAATAGACTAAAGACTAGACTATAGACTACACTATTGACTAGACTATAGACTGGACTATAGACCAGACTAAACTATAGACCAGACTAGACTATAGACCAGACTAAAGACTAGACTAGACTATATACTACACTATAGACTAGACTATAGACTACACTATAGACTAGACTATATACCAGACTATAGACTAGACTATAGACTAGACCATAGACTAGACTATAGACTAGACTATAGACTAGACTATAGACTAGACTATAGACTAGACTATAGACTAAACTATAGACTATACTATAGACTAGACTATAGTCTAAACTATAGACTAGACTATAGACTAGACTATAGACTAGACTATAGACTAGACTATAGACTAGACTATAGACTAGACTATAGACTAGACTATAGACTAGACTATAGACTAGACTATAGACTAGACTATAGACTAGACTATAGACTAGACTATAGACTAGACTATAGACTAGACTATAGACTAGACTATAGACTAGACTATAGACTAGACTATAGACTAGACTATAGACTAGACTATAGACTAGACTACAGACTAGACTCTAGACTAGACTATAGACTAGACTACAGACTAGACTCTAGACTAGACTATAGACTAGACTATAGACTAGACTATAGACTAGACTATAGACTAGACTATAGACTAGACTATAGACTAGACTATAGACTAGACTATAGACTAGACTATAGACTAGACTATAGACTAGACTATAGACTAGACTATAGACTAGACTATAGACTAGACTATAGACTAGACTATAGACTAGACTATAGACTAGACTATAGACTAGACTATACACTAGACCATAGACTAGACTATAGACTAGACTATAGACTAGACTGTAGACTAGACTATAGACTAGACTATAGACTAGACTATAGACTAGACTATAGACTAGACTATAGACTAGACTATAGACTAGACTATAGACTAGACTATAGACTAGACTATAGACTAGACTATAGACTAGACTATAGACTAGACTATAGACTAGATTAGACTATAGACTAGACTATAGACTAGACTATAGACTAGACTATAGACTAGACTATAGACTAGACTATAGACTAGACTATAGACTAGACTATAGACTAGACTATAGACTAGATTATAGACTAGATTATAGACTAGACTATAGACTAGACTATAGACTAGACTATAGACTAGACTATAGACTAGACTATAGACTAGACTATAGACTAGACTATAGACTAGACTATAGACTAGACTATAGACTAGACTATAGACTAGACTATAGACTAGACTATAGACTAGACTATAGACTAGACTATAGACTATAGACTAGATTATAGACTAGACTATAGACTAGACTATAGACTAGACTAGACTATAGACTAGACTATAGACTAGACTATAGACTAGACTATAGACTAGACTATAGACTAGACTATAGACTAGACTATAGACTAGACTATAGACTAGACTATAGACGAGACTAGACTACTAGACTAGACTATAGACTATGACTATACTAGACTAATAGACTAGACTATAGACTAGACTATAGACTAGACTATAGACTAGACTATAGACTAGACTATAGACTAGACTATAGACTAAGACTATAACTAGACTATAGACTAGACTATAGACTAGACTATAGACTAGACTATAGACTAGACTATAGACAGACTATAGACTAGACTATAGACTAGACTATAGACTAGACTATAGACTAGACTATAGACAGACTATAGACCTAGACTATAGACTAGACTATAGACTAGACTATAGACTAGACTAAGAACTAGACTATAGACTGAGCTATAGACTAGACCATAGACTATAGACTGACTATAGACTAGACTATAGACTAGACTAGACTAGACTATAGACTAGACTATAGACTAGACTATAGACTAGACTAATAGACTAGACTAGACTAGACTAGACTAGACTATAGACTAGACTATAGACTAGAACTATCTATAGACTAGACTATAGACTAGACTATAGACTAGACTATAGACTGACTATAGACAGACTAGACTAGCTATAGACTAGACTATAGACTAGACTATAGACTAGAGTATAGACTAGACTATAGACTAGACTATAGACTCGACTATATAGACTAGAGTATAGACTAGACTATAGACTAGAGTATAGACTAGACTATAGACTAGACTACAGACATAGACTATAGACTAGACTATAGACTAGACTATAGACTAGATTATAGACTAGACTATAGACTAGACTATAGACTAGATTATAGACTAGACTATAGACTAGACTATAGACTAGATTATAGACTAGACTATAGACTAGACTATAGACTAGACTATAGACTAGACTAGACCAGACTATAGACTAGACCATAGACTAGACTATAGACTAGACTATAGACTAGACTATAGACTAGACTATAGACTAGGACTATAGACTAGACTATAGACTAGCTATACACTAGGCTATAGACTAGACTGTAGACTAGAATATACACAGACGGAAATACTATGTGAACTTCTTATCAAAAGTTATTAAGTATTAGTTAGAAAAAGTACCGAATAAGTTGTGGGGGTACCGAGGTAGCCTATAGTCTAGTTATGGATCAGTCTATAGTCTAGTGGCAAATTAATGTAGTACTTTAAAACCTAAAATGTAATATTTTAAAATTTCAATTTTCCATGCTTGGTCTTGTCTGTAGGAAATTTAGTTTAACACTTTAAAACGTAATAAGTACTCAATTTGTTATATTTATGTTATTCAAATCAGAATTTTAATTTTCCATGCCTGGTCGAAACTACAACTATTATTAGAATTTTTTTTCTCTGGATTTAATTGAGCCTATGCATACTAGAGAATTAAAAGTACGTAGAAATTGTTAATGTATGTATGTAGTAATTTGCAATGATCAAATCATACCACAAGGGGGTGATGTCTTCATGGCCATACGGCGTAAATGTGTCTGCTTTGCTCACTGCAAACTTAACAAATTATAGTAAAGATTTTTTAAACTAAATGGGAATTGTAGCTAAAAGTCAAAATTTTAATAAAGCAAATAGATATAAACTATTAAAGATAAAAAACTTTAAAATATTTTGAAAGGGTTGAAGAAAATATCCTAGTTAAAAACGTGTTTCTTTTTTTTTTTTCTAAAGAACTAATTTACATATTTTACAATTAACCCTTTATGCATATTTAAGCACCCTAAAAACATTAAAAGGTACTGAGTGTTACAATTATTAGATAAAAACAACTTAAGAACTATTTTTTTTTAATATTTTGTTTATTCCAATTGAGTTTAAAATTAAATTTTTTTAAATTTTTTCATTATTGAAACTATAGGGTCAGATTTCTTAGCTCATTTTTGGACATTGGCCTTTCAAAAACATACAATCAGACCAGTTGCTATCTATTAACTACAATTGTTAACACAATAAAAATACCGTTCAGTTAATCATTATTTCCAGTTGGAAAAAAATTTTAGTTACGAGGGGTCAATATGTGAACTCCAATAGCAAGATACCAAAACTTACGATTACCAAAAATTTAAGCACAAAAGCTCTATAGTTCTATTTAATGAGCTAAAATAACACACTAAATACCTCCTCAAAATTTGTTAAGTTTAAATTTTCAATTTCACACAAAAGCTTTTGTATCGCTCAAAGCTAACCATTACCGTGTGGACATCTTACCCACCCCCCCACAATCTCAGCCACAACAGACACATCTTGTGGGTAAGCATCAGACGACAGCGTATACCGGTTGTGACTATTGCTCTCTAGCATCACTTGGAGCGAAAATATTTACACAAGTACTAAATAGTTCTTAAGTTTAACTTGTCTATTATTTTAAACTGACAGTGCTTTTAATTGTTTTTTTTGGGTGGTAAAATGAAAAGTAAAAGGGTTAATTGAGAAATATGTAAATTATTTCTAGAGACGAAGAAAAAGGGTTAGTTTTTCAACTAGGATATTATTTTCTTCAACCCTTTTAAGTGCTTTTAAAAGTTTCATCCTTAAAAGTTGTCTACATCTTGTGTCCCCTTTGTAGTAATTCCCATTAAGTTTATTAAAAATTTCGAATAAATAGTTAAGTTTTATGTTGGCGAAAATATAAATACTTACATCACGTAGGGGCTACCGTGATCATGAAGGCGGCTCCCCCAAAGAGTGGCTTGGTCATTGCACCTTACGACTTTGTACACCTTGCCAATATTCCGAACGAGAATAGTGGATGCGTATAATTTTTGGTAGCCGGGAATGGCCTTAGATGCCGTCCCGATATTTGTGTAATTGATTTCAATGTAAACTAAATAAAATTTGAGAAATTATAATAGACTAGACTATAGACTAGACTATAGACTAGACTGTAGACTAGACTATAGACTAGCTAGACTAGACTATAGACTAGACTATAGACTAGACTATAGACTAGCTATACTAGACTATAGACTAGACTATAGACTAGACTATAGACTAGACTATAGACTAGACTATAGACTAGACTATAGACTAGACTATAGACTAGACTATAGACTAGACTATAGACTAGACTATAGACTAGACTATAGACTAGACTATAGACTAGACTATAGACTAGACTATAGACTAGACTATAGACTAGACTATAGACTAGACTATAGACTAGACTATAGACTAGACTATAGACTAGACTATAGACTAGACTATAGACTAGACTATAGACTAGACTATAGACTAGACTATAGACTAGACTATAGACTAGACTATAGACTAGACTATAGACTAGACTATAGACTAGACTATAGACTAGACTATAGACTAGACTATAGACTAGACTATAGACTAGACTATAGACTAGACTATAGACTAGACTATAGACTAGACTATAGACTAGACTATAGACTAGACTATAGACTAGACTATAGACTAGACTATAGACTAGACTATAGACTAGACTATAGACTAGACTATAGACTAGACTATAGACTAGACTATAGACTAGACTATAGACAAGACTATAGACAAGACTATAGACTAGATAGACTAGACTACAGACTAGACTATAGACTAGACTATAGACTAGACTATAGACTAGACTATAGACTAGACTATAGACTAGACTATAGACTAGACTATAGACTAGACTATAGACTAGACTAGACTATAGACTAGACTATAGACTAGACTAGACTATAGACTAGACTATAGACTAGACTATAGACTAGACTATAGACTAGACTATAGACTAGACTAGACTATAGACTAGACTATAGACTAGACTATAGACTAGACTATAGACTAGACTATAGACTAGACTATAGACTAGACTATAGACTAGACTATAGACTAGACTATAGACTAGACTATAGACTAGACTAGACTAGACTATAGACTAGACTATAGATTAGACTATAGATTAGACTATAGACTAGACTATAGACTAGACTATAGACTAGACTATAGACTAGACTATAGACTAGACTAGACTAGACTATAGACTAGACTATAGACTAGACTATAGACTAGACTATAGACTAGACTATAGACTAGACTATAGACTAGACTATAGACTAGACTATAGACTAGACTATAGACTAGACTATAGACTAGACTATAGACTAGACTATAGACTAGACTATAGACTAGACTATAGACTAGACTATAGACTAGACTATAGACTAGACTATAGACTAGACTATAGACTAGACTATAGACTAGACTATAGACTAGACTATAGACTAGACTATAGACTAGACTATAGACTAGACTATAGACTAGACTATAGACTAGACTATAGACTAGACTATAGACTAGACTATAGACTAGACTATAGACTAGACTATAGACTAGACTATAGACTAGACTATAGACTAGACTATAGACTAGACTATAGACTAGACTATAGACTAGACTATAGATAGACTATAGACTAGACTATAGACTAGAGATAGACTAGACTATAGACTAGACTATAGACTAGACTATAGACTAGACTATAGACTAGACTATAGACTAGACTATAGACTAGACTATAGACTAGACTATAGACTAGACTATAGACTAGGCTATAGTCTAGTCTATAGTCTAGTCTATAGACTAGACTATAGACTAGACTATAGACTAGACTATAGACTAGACTATAGACTAGACTATAGACTAGACTATAGACTAGACTATAGACTAGACTATAGACTAGACTATAGACTAGACTATAGACTAGACTATAGACTAGACTATAGACTAGACTATAGACTAGACTATAGACTAGACTATAGACTAGACTATAGACTAGACTATAGACTAGACTATAGACTAGAGATAGACTAGACTATAGACTAGACTATAGACTAGACTATAGACTAGACTATAGACTAGACTATAGACTAGACTATAGACTAGACTATAGACTAGACTATAGACTAGACTATAGACTAGACTATAGACTAGACTATAGACTAGACTATAGACTAGACTATAGACTAGACTATAGACTAGACTATAGACTAGACTATAGACTAGACTATAGACTAGACTATAGACTAGACTATAGACTAGGCTATAGACTAGGCTATAGACTAGACTATAGACTAGACTATAGACTAGACTATAGACTAGACTATAGACTAGACTATAGACTAGACTATAGAATAGACTATAGATAGACTATAGACTAGATATAGACTAGACTATAGACTAGACTATAGACTAGACTATAGACTAGACTATAGACTGGACTATAGACTAGACTATAGACTAGACTATAGACTAGACTATAGACTAGACTATAGACTAGACTATAGACTAGACTATAGACTAGACTATAGACTAGACTATAGACTAGACTATAGACTAGACAATAGACTAGACTATAGACTAGACTATAGACTAGACTATAGACTAGACTATAGACTAGACTATAGACTAGACTATAGACTAGACTATAGACTAGACTATAGACTAGACTATAGACTAGACTATAGACTAGACTATAGACTAGACTATAGACTAGACTATAGACTAGACTATAGACTAGACTATAGAATAGACTATAGACTAGACTATAGACTAGACTATAGACTAGACTATAGACTAGACTATAGACTAGACTATAGACTAGACTATAGACTAGACTATAGACTAGACTATAGACTAGACTATAGACTAGACTATAGACTAGACTATAGACTAGACTATAGACTAGACTATAGACTAGACTATAGACTAGACTATAGACTAGACTATAGACTAGACTATAGACTAGACTATAGACTAGACTATAGACTAGACTATAGATTAGACTATAGACTAGACTATAGACTAGACTATAGATTAGACTATAGACTAGACTATAGACTAGACTATAAACTAGACTATAGACTAGACTATAGACTAGACTATAGACTAGACTATAGACTTGACTATAGACTAGACTATAGACTAGACTATAGACTAGACTATAGACTAGACTATAGACTAGACTATAGACTAGACTATAGACTAGACTATAGACTAGAGCTAATAGACTAGAACTATAGAACTAGATTATAGACTAGACTATAGACTAGATTATAGACTAACTATAGACTAGACTATAGACTAACTAAGACTAGACTTAGACTAGCTATGACTAGACTATAGACTAGACTAGAGACTAGACTATAGACTAGACTATAGACTAGACTATAGACTAGACTATAGACTAGACTATAGACTAGACTATAGACTAACTATAGACTAGACTATAGACTATACTATAGACTAGACTATAGACTAGACTATAGACTAGACTATAGACTAGACTATAGACTAGACTATAGACTAGACTATAGACTAGACTATAGACTAGACTATAAGACTAGACTATAAGACCTAGACTATAGACTAGACTATAGACTAGACTATAGACATAGACTATAGACTAGACTATAGACTAGACTATAGACTAGACTATAGACTAGACTATAGACTAGACTATAGACTAGACTATAGACTAGGACTATAGAACTACTAAAGATAGACTAGACTATAGACTAGACTATAGACTAGACTATAGATTAGACTATAGATTAGACTATAGACTAGACTATAGACTAGACTATAGACTAGACTATAGACTAGACTATAGAATAGACTATAGACTAGACTATAGACTAAGACTATAGACTAGACTATAGATTAGACTATAGACTAGACTATAGACTAGACTATAGACTATAGACTAGACTATAGACTAGACTATAGACTAGACTATAGACTAGACAATAGATTAGACTATAGTCTAGTCTATAATGTAGTCTCTAGTGTAGTCCTATAGTCCTATTCTATAGTCTAGTCAATAATGTAGTCTTTAGTGTAGTCTATCGACGGATACATTATTGTTTTAATTCAGTATATTTTTTTACGATTTGTTATTAAGTCTGCATTCTTTTTAAAGCTCCTACATGTAGAAACGTAGTACATATGTGTGTACATTAAACCTACACACATACATATCATAATTGTTATTGGCATCATCATCAGCTTTGAAATGCATTGATTTTGTTTTCTATTGGCATCAATATGAATGAATGAAACTGTATATTATAATTTAACAGCAGGAAAAAATGTAGAGGGTAATATCATTACCAGAGACGTAGCTGAAACCGTTTCAAAGTGAAACATACCAAAATGATACCTAGAAATCATAGAGTTTCAAAATCAGAACCTCTAAAACTAACTGAGAATTTCTTAACTTAGGGTAATTTGTTTAAATTACTCCCCTCCCTCCTCCCGGTTGGATTTAAATAACTTTCAATTTCATTTTTGAAATTATTTAAAATTTTTTCTTCATTTTCATTATCGTTACTTTTATATGTCATTTATCAATTATCTTTTTAAGTTTTTTTTTTTTTTTTTTTTTTAGCTCATCTATTACTATGAGTTTAAATTACCATTAATTTTTATCATTTTTTTCTCTTTATAGATGTTAATTTAGCCAATACGTTTTTAATGGAACAAAATTGGTAAGATTTTTTTCAATATTGTTACATTTTGAAGTACTAAGCTATAGTGTTAAATTATGTCATTCATTAAAAACGTTTTGTTTTATCTACTTAAGTATCACGCACTCATAAACGCGTGTCATACAAATAATTTCTGTCGAAAAAATCTCTATAATTGACTGTTAAAGTTAATGATTTCAATTTTTTTCTATATATATTTTATAATTTAACATTTCTGTAAAGAAATGTGTTGGAATGTACTCCGCATATTGTGATATGTTAGTTAGGGTAATCAAATTTTGAATTTTTAATTCTTACA